TCTGTGTTGGGAAAGGGCAGGTGTGGCGAAGCATCGCGTGGATTTATGAGGGTTTTCCTTCTCCTGGAGCCGCCGCCTGGGCTGGGAAGCTTTTGGGCAAAGCGGGAGCTGGGCTTGGGGGCTTTCCCAGCTCTTGTGCTGCCCCAAGGTAGGAGCAAAATCCCTCCCCAACTGCAGAGGCTGTCGGGCGAGGGAACCAAGGAGAGGAAGAGAGCTGGGGAGACCCAGCCTTGGTGGAGGACGTGAGGGTGTAGGAGGCTGTGGAGGGAGCAGGACACTGAGCAGGGCTGGAGGGTGCAGAGATGAGGCACGGAGGGTGGGAGTGCCCGAGGCCAAGGGTGGGAGGCCCATGGACTGTGGGTGCTGGGAGGCGATGGTGGGGGCGAGGCCCATCCAGCGGAGGCGGCTGCTGTCCCTGCACCCTGCCAGCGCCTTGCTCGTGGCTCTGCCTCTTGTTCTCCGCACACCCTGGTAAGTCCTTTCTCCCCATCGCACCGTGGGGTGGGGGCCGTCAGCGCTCACCTGTGGTGTTTAGGAGTCCCATCTGAGTAAAATGAGATTTCTGTTTGGAAAAGGCGTCTTTTATCCCCTCGGATGCAAATGCAGCACAACGCGACTCCTCCGGTGTGCTGCTACGGGGTAAGGACTCTCCTAAAGAGAGGGAAGAGATGAAGCAAAGGCAAGGATAACGAGACGGAGAATTGCCAGGTGGGTTCCTGCACAGCAAAACTTTGCCCCGTGCACCAGCTGTTGGGCCAATGCGTGGGCTCTTTGTCCTCACCTTAAAACACTTCTTCGCAATTTCTGGTTCTAAAGGGTTTCACGTGGTCCTAACGCCTTTCTGCACCGGACATCACTTACGGCACTGGTTTTGTCCTGGTCACCCCTCAGTTGGTCACTTGTTTAGCGATAAGAAAACATTGACATTTAAAAAAAATACATGATACGGAGGGGACAGAGTCTGTTACAACCTCCTTCTCACGCTTTCCCCAGTTACCACTTTCCCAACACCAATTTGTGCATGTATCAACTCATATTTATTCTTCGAAGTTTTAACCTCTAGTTTGGAAAGGTGGAGGGGATGAGATCTTACTAGGCGTGAAAAAAACCTCCTACAGTCTCCTTTAGTGAAAATGAGAACTTCAGGTTACACGTTAAAACTCGTATTTTCACACAGCAGCTTCCAAAGCCAGGTCCGATAAAAATCTTCCCTCAAAGCAGCTGTATCTTTAGCTGGCTCATTGCTTTTACCAGCTATTTTAAGTAGCCTGGACCAGATGTACATAAATTCATTTTTTTTAGAAAGTTCTCAGCCTTGGGTGAGTTTCCACATTTAACCTCAATTCCACCGGGGATTTTGGTGCCTGACCCAGCTCCTCCCATGCAGCTCCGTGTCCTGTCGCAAGGCAAAGCCTCACCATCACCCGTGATCTGTCCTGCCAAGCTGACAGTGGAGCTTTCCACCTTGTGTCCTACTAGATATTCTGTCTTGTAAAGAAATCCTGTTAAAGTCAGAAAACACGCTGGTCTTGAGGGCATGGCAGTGGCATTCAGTTGTCATTTTAACTTTTTGAGTAACTTTTTGAGTCCGAGTCCGTATCAGTGATGCTTACGGCTCCGCTCGTGAATTGCTGGTGTTACACAGTTGGGTTTTCAAGCAGGGAGAGGTGTGACCAGTGGACATCTCTGATTGATCGTGGCTCTGCATCTCAACACCCTTTGCAGAGACGCTTGTGGTGGAATTGAGATGAAGAGCCCCCGTGAGACATCGCTCCCAGTGACTGGGATGTATGGAGGAGTCTGCAGAGGTCAAGTCGGAGGATGAAGACGCTGCTAAATGGGAAGCGACTTCTGTCACTGGGAGGACACAAGAATAACGAGAATTTCATTTCCTGAGTGGAAAAAAAAAACAACGCTATCTGTAGCTTAAAGATCCCTGGGCAAAGACTGTGGCACATCCACTGGTCCTGATAGAAGCTGTTACAGTCACTGGGAACGGAAGGTGAAGCAGCTGTGTTGTGGGGGCAGAGGGAGCATCCCCCTTTCTGATCCTGTGCAGCAACATCCGCCGCGGTCACACCATGGGAGTCTTCTCTTGTGAAGGAGAACATATGATTTTGAAGTGGCCATCGTCGGGGCTGGGCATGGCCCCAGCGCTTCTCGTGCTGCAAATCCCGGTGTGACAGGGAACAGCTCTTTCCCATATGTGGCAGGAGGTGCTGTGGCACGATTTGGTCTCTGGGACAGCAGAGGCATGTCCAGGGAAGCAGAAACCACAGGTTTCCACCGGCTCTGGGACTCTGCTGCCAGTGGATCCATCGCCAACACTGCCCGCTTCCACCAGACGATCTGCAGATAATTACGTGTCTTAGATTAAGGACTTTTCGGAGTGTCTTATACCCAAGAAATGCTGGGCAGAGCTGTGCTAGAGCCTATAAAGAGCTGGTCCTGGAACTGGAGAGGACATCCACCTCCCACCACTTTAATAAAGCCCACGGCACACCATGTCGCATGTGACACATCGCCTACGTGCTCACACCTTGTCCTGCCACCCTGGGAGGTGAGATTTTTCTCTCCTTATCTTTTCTCCTTAAGCAAAGACTTGTGAAGCCCCTCTGTCTCCAGACCTGAAACTTTGGTGTTCGATGCTGTGAGATAATTGAGCCCACCGGCCGCGTCGTGACCTCTTGGAAGGAGCAAACAGCCCGTGTTAGCAGGCAGCAGGTCGCCCCAGAGCAGCCCCAATTGCTGCAGTTGCCATGAAAGCCCTGGCTCTCCCTTGGCTGGGAGGTTTGATTTGGAAAAGGGTTGGCTTTTGGAACTTTTCTTCCCCACAGCTTAGCCTCTGGATAGAGACCAGAACAGTTGCTGCTTGTCGACGCAGCTCCTGCCCCTGTGTGACGGTGGGAAGCTGCGCCGGTGACTTTGCAAGAGAGTGACTGAGAAGGGGTTACGGTGGAGACTTGGGAAATGGGGATCCAGTCCTGCTCCTCTTCCAGCCTCAGACTGAACTGTGTTGCCCATCACTGGCTCTATTTTCCTCCCTACCCCTTACAAACTGGCCCTGCTTTACCCCTTACAAACTGGCTCTGCTTTCTCCCCCTCCCAGCAGCACCA